GGGGGGGCCCCCAGAGGGGCCCCCTGGGGGGCCCCCCGGGCTGCTGCTGTCCCCCGCAGGGGCTGTTACGTACAGCAGGTATTGCCCGCAGGGGGAGAAGGACATTAGCATGCACTTGGGCTTCATAAACCTGCAGCAGCAGCAGCAGCAGCAGCAGCAGCAGCAGCAGTAGTTCGTCAGTTCGTTCGTGCGTGCGCCACGCATGCAGGCTACACAAGCTGCTGCACACACCCAAGCAGCCTTGCAAAATAGCTGCCGCTGCAGCAGGGGCCCCCGGGGGCCCCCGGGGGCCCTCAGGGGCCCCCAGGGGCCCCCAGGGGCCCCCAGGGGCCCCCAGGGGCCCCCAGGGGGCCCCCGGGGGCCCCCGTGGAGGGCGGGGCCCCCTACCTGATGGGGTAGTGGCTGCGGAGCTTGGGGTGCTGCTGCTGGCAGTCGCGGATGGTCAAAAGGCCCTTTTGCTGCTGCACGAGTCGGTCGTGCAAAGAGTCATAAAAAACTCCCAAACTTTCTCGAGAGTCAAAACGCAGCAGACAGCCTTCCACGTAACACACAGACTCCCCCGAGTAGTAGCTGTGCTCCCCCTCCGTCAGGGGCCCCTGGGGGCCCCCCAGCGCCCCCGGGGGGCCCCCGGGGGGCCCCGGGGGCCCCGGGGGCCCCGGGGGCTCCTGGGGGGCCTGGGGGGCCCCCGCTGGGGGTTGCTCAGGGCCCTGGGGCCCCTGGGGCCCCTGGGGGCCCTGGGGGCCCTCGGGGCACTCCTGCATTGTGGGGGGCCCCCTGACGCGGCGGCGGAGGGGCCTGCAGGCAGCTCACAAGCAGGTGCGGGGCCCCTGGGGCCCCCGGGGCATGCGGCGCTGCTGCTGCAGCAGCGGCTGCTGCTGCAGGGAGGGTCTGGGGAGCAGCAGCAGCAGCAGGCGGCGGCTGGACTGGCTGCAGCACCTCGCAGGCCCCAACTCACGCGGAACTTCTCTAATTGGGGCCTTCTGCTGCTGCAGGTGACGCGCGGGGACTCATTTAGCAGAAAACGCGGAGAAAAGAGCCGCGGGAAGCGCCGAGAGGCCGTGTGCTGGCGCGAGCAGCAGAGTGGAAAGCAGCGCAAAAAGGGGGAAAGCGGCGGGAAACCGAGGCAGCCCGAACGCGAAATGAAAAGATATTGCCAAATATTGTATTTAAGAATCAAAACGCGGAAAAAATGAAGTGGACAGAAGCCGAAAACGCGGAAATGCGCACGGGCGATCCGCAGCTGCAGCTGTCTATACACCCCAGAAGGCGCGCGCTGTCGTCAGCGGCAACGCCGCCAAGACCCCGGACAAGAAGTCTTTTTGGTCCGTTTAAGTTTGTTTCTTTCTTTTAAATTCGAAGAAATCTGCAAACACAAGCCATTTAGAA